CTGAGATGGTGTTAGTAACAGGGAAGGTCTGTGATAACAATTTTGTTACCATGACAGCAAACAAACACATCCTTATTGAATAATCAGCACTACAGATAAAGTCAGAAAAAGATTTCACGGTGAGAATAAAATCTGTGATTGGTGATTTTCATTTAAAAGTATAATTATTACACTGTAATTTATCAAAAAGTCATAAACTTTGATCTTCTTATTTTAAAGACTGTTGCTTTTAATGTTACTAAGCTTAAAATAAAAGAACTTATAGAAAGGTTTGATATGAATTACGGTAGATATTCGTAATTTCAATCTCCTGATATATTGCCTTTGTGGTAGGCATTTGTTAAATTTGATGCACTTTCTTACCCGCATGTGATTAGTAGATGTTCCCAAAATTTGATGTTTTCTGTGAAATTCTCTTTTCTGTATCTCTGTAGATATCACGTTTTTGTACTTCCGTTTCACTCACTCGTGCATACACTTAATCATTATTGCTATCGAATGTAAAGGACATTTCTTGCATATTTAGATTGTCTCCATGTAAATTTTCGAACATTTTTCTGTCTGAAATCCTGTAAATTTATATTTATTTGTCAAACATCAAGAAAAGATCTGAATTTCCAGTAGAAACCATGGAGGATAATGGAAAAATATTCAGAGTTGTTAACAAGTCTTTATCATAGATCCATCACCATATTTCATGCTGTTGATGTTTTGGGAAATCTATGTTACTAATACATGATAGTAGAAAGGTAGAAGGTGAAACTCATGGATTTGAAAGTACCCTATTTTCCAGGTTAAAAGCCAAGGCTTTTTTCCCCTCAGTAGTTGAGCAAGCGGCTTATATACCTATGTGACTTAAATGCGGATGAAAAAGAAAGAAGATTCTTATAACATGCACTTCGTGACCTTGCATCCTGATAATTAGCCCACCATCAGATGGTGGGCTATTCAAATCGTTTAGGGTCAGTGATCCGTCATCCCTCTGTACACAATATTTGTTATCACTATTTCTTGAATACTACTGGATGGATCTTTCTCAAATTGCATATGTAGATTCTCTTTGGTTCCTAGTTGTGCCTGTTTGATTTTGGGACTGATAAAAAAACAAAATGGCCAACAGGCAGCCATCTTGGATTTTTTCAGTGAAGTTTGTTATTGCTATTTCTTGAAAAGTAAAAGATTGATTTCTCTCAGATTTCAAATGTTTGTTCCCCATAGTCTCTCGTTGTGCCCATGTACTTTTGGGACTGTTCAAAAGAAATAAAATTTCTTCCAGGTAGCCATTTTTGATTTGGCAGATAAAGATTATCATTTCTGCAAATAAATTTTCAAATGTCTTATCATTAAGAGCAAAAACAGAGAAGAGAAAAGAAGGGAAAAGATTCAACTTTCGGAAGTCATAGTGGAAGTTTACAATAGCCTGTTGCATCCTGGGATCAATGGGTCATCGGGTAAAATTCTAGAATGGCCGCCATGATTGTTTGCATTAAGAATGGCTTTGTGTAACTTACAAGAAATAATATAGGACTATAAGAATTTTGTCAGTATGCAATGCAATGGTCTTCATAAATAATTAACAAAAAAGACATACACTGATGGAGATAGCGTTAAGTAAACCGTACATTATGTCAGCCCTTATATCTGTGCATAGACAATCTTTGAAGGCTCCCAAGCCAAACAAGTTCGATAACTGCTATTTTACGTTGTTCAAACACATCATTAAAATAAAGGACTGTCTGTGTATGATTCATTTGCAAAGTTATATCAAATGTTTCACTGACGATCTTGACAAATTGCCTTCCGTTGTCTGTTATATCAATGAACTTTGGTCAACATAATGGCTACCACATCGTAAGAAATGATGCCGCTTAAATTCGGGTGCATCTTATGTATGGATCAAATCAAAAAAATCTCTAAAAACCAGCCCAGTGGCTTATGTTCGGGTGCGGTTTATAGCCCAGAAAATACTGTATACCATATATGTACTTCACATCGTAATTAGATTTTGATGCATACCAGAATGAAATGAGATATTTACAGTATACTGCTGAGATAGCCAGATATTAAGCGATGTCTGTTTTATGATTAAAAATCAAGAATATCCTTGAGAACCAATATAGCTACATCTATGTTGCATGACTGAGACATATAATTTTCAGTTTTACGGTATGTAGGTGTGTATAAAAAGCATGTGTGTTTCATCATTTCTGTACTGCTTAATATGGTTTTAACCTATATTATATATATATATATATGTGTGTACATGCACCATTAGTAGATTACATGTAGTAACAGTTTTACTGTCTCTGATTTGCAGGACTCCGCGCGGAAGCGGGAGGCTTTCATGGAACTCCTGGCCAAAAGATACCCACAATATCGCGACAAAATCAGTGGAACAGGTAGTGAAGATGGATTTCCTATTGGGGTAAGTCAGAAATAAAACTGACCAAAAAAATCAAATTTATTGGAGGATGTATGTCATATTTAATGTCTAGAAGTTAAATTCTGAATCCTTGTCCATTGAAAGCCAGGGGTTTGAAATTCAATGCCTTGTGGGCAACATTTCCAAACATGATTATAAAATACTTGTATCAGGTATGCCAAGATATTTATTCTGGTGAAGTGAACCCCAACCTACTAATTTGATAGATGGAATGAAATATATTTGCTGGGTTTATCACTCTGTGAATGAACACTGTCATTTTGAGGCGGTGTCTCTCTGTGATAACTGGTACTACCACACTGAACAACATACCAAAGGCTCATTACATGCTATCCAAAGCTTAAGTGTTTTATTAATTGCTAAACCACAACAGCACAGATCAGTCCGTTTCTCAGCTTGACATGAAACACAATATATCAAGGCTTGTGAGCATTGAACCACGGGTACACCTGGCATTGCTCTGATCAACTCAGCTCTCATGGCCTCACTCAAAGTTACAGATATTGTGTAACAATAGTAAAGAGCAGTTGAATATTGAGAGGTTGTGTTTGTAATTAAAAGGGAAAGGCATAACATTTTGGGAAATAAAGAATTAGAAACTGAAAAAGGAAAATGGTGAAATATTAGACTGATTAAACATTTTTTTGTATCCAAATTCAACAGTTCAGTCATCTTTAGTTATGTTTATTTGGACAGGTGTCGAGTGATATGAAATGTAATTATGTCACTAGGTTAGGGATGACCTTTAAAATAATAGCGAACCAGTTTAAAGGTTTTTACCGTTGGTTTGGGACCTCATTATTTAAGCAACATATTGCCAGGTGGCATACGTTAGCTAACTCTCATTAAAGTTTCCCACTCAACCTTGTAATGAAAGCCTGACAATGGAAGGTCGGGCAGGCTACCGTTTCCCCTTCAAGATAACCATTGTGTTCACCTTTGATAAGTATCACATCACCTGTAGTGCAAGCTGTCACCATTTTAAATGTCCTGGGTCTATATGTGGAAGGTCTATTGTCTGTGTTATACCAAGGTCATTTAGGAACTATTTGACACATAACTCAATATGGTGTTATGAAAGATTGTGAGAGGGGCCCTTGAGGGTATCATGATGAAGTCAGAGCTAGTGTTTCTTTGGTTTAGTAATAGATCTATGCTGAAATGTGATTATTTTGTCTATATCAGGTGTAAGTTGATTGAATCAATTCCACAAAGTGATATGAAATTAATTCATTTTCACAAAATCAAATAAAATCAAATCAATTTCACAAAATGAAATCAAATTAAATCAATTTCTTCACAAAATGAAATCAAATTAAATGAATTTCACTTAATGAAATCAAAGTTTTTTTGAAAAATATTTATCAGCTTACCAGACTCCATCATGTGTACTCGAAATTGGTCGTATGCTAAAATAATCTGATGTTCAATCATACATTTCATTTGTATTTAAATCAACATTTGTCTCTAATGTAAGAATTATGTTCAATCCAAACATAGAACATCTGAATACATACAGATGTGAAAGCTATACTGTAGAATTTAGTATAAAGTCATTTTTTATTATGACCCTTTAAAATACCCTTGTCACTCTTGATTTTGAAGTTTCACTGACAAATTTTCCCAATTTTGGGTTTTGGGACGAATGAAATCATCAGTTTTTGTGTCGCTTAGTGCAGCTTAGTTTATAACAGCTTCATGGACTTAAAACATTTTGTGATTATTCTCCTCTGCAGAAAATCTAAAATACTGCAAAATGTATTTGGAATGAAATTTTCTCATTGTAAACAAAGCTTCATTCCCAAACATTTATTGTTTAGACAAAAAAAATGTGTTTTGCTTAATCAAAAAATAATTCAGCATGGTTTATGACAGTTAAACTTTTATGTCTTGTGTCTAATTAATTTTTGAATTATTTACTAGCACCTTTTTGTAAACCCATACACCCCTTTGTTTAATTGGACTAAGCCAGTTGGTCATATCACTTTGATCTGAGAAGAGTTTATTTACTTACTGAATAGGGATGGTAAGGTTTAATTAATGTGGGGAAATTTGTATTGGATTAATATCTGTCTTTGAAACCAAATTATTTACAATCTCTCCTCAAGCCACTTGAAGTGGTATTGATATAGTTCTAAATTTGTTGTAATACTACACCATTGTATGGTAAACAGCTGGTAAATATCGTAGGTACACGAGAATCACCTGTAAATAAGATATTTACATACTGTATTTACATCTGTTATCATACCCTTCGAAACCAACTTTTTCTTACCTGTCAAATACTTAACTTGATGAGGAAAAATATTTACAATTTGATTACAGTTAATGAATGCCCTTAATCTATAAAGTTGAATACAATTCACAACCCTGGAGGTCTGAAAGTTTATCTACAGACACTAACAAGGCTAGATTTACCTACTGTACAATAAGGTGAATCAGCACTACCAACCTAGCTTGGTCTGGTAGTATTACGTCATACATGTCTTCATTTTACCTGTATTTATATCATTTAACAAAGTTACACACTGTACCGTTTCTATATATAATACCGTATTTATCCAAGTGAAATGTGTAATGTGATATGTTCCTGCCCCTCCCTAAGGTGGGGATTTGGAGGGTTGGGGTGTATATGTTCCTGCCTCTCCCTAAGGTGGGGATTTGGAGGGTTGGGGTGGATATGTTCCTGCCTCTCCCTAAGGTGGAGATTTGGAGGGTTGAGATGATTATGTTCCTGTCTCTCCTTAAGGTGGGGATTTGGAGGGTTTGGGTGAATATGTTCCTGTCTCTCCCTAAGGTGGGGATTTGGAGGGTTGGGGTGAATATGTTCCTGTCTCTCCCTAAGGTGGGTATTTGAAGGGTTGAGATGGATATGTTCCTGCCTCTCCTTAAGGTGGGGATTTGGAGGGTTGAGATGATTATGTTCCTGTCTCTCCCTAAGGTGGGGATTTGGAGGGTTTGGGTGAATACATTCCTGCCTCTCCCTAAGGTGGGGATTTGGAGGGTTGAGATGGATATGTTCCTGCCTCTCCTTAAGGTGGGGATTTGGAGGGTTTGGGTGAATACATTCCTGCCTCTCCCTAAGGTGGGGATTTGGAGGGTTGAGATGGATATGTTCCTGCCCCTCCCTTAGGTGGAGATTTGGAGGGTTGAGATGGATATGTTCCTGCCCCTCCCTTAGGTGGAGATTTGGAGGGTTGGGGTGGACATGTTGCTGCCTCTCCTGTCTCTCCCTAAGGTTGGGATTTGGAAGGTTGGGGTGGATATGTTCCTGTCTCTCCCTAAGGTGGGGATTTGGAAGGTTGGGGTGTATATATTCCTGTCTCTCCCTAAGGTTGGGATTTGGAAGGTTGGGGTGGATATGTTCCTGCCTCTCCCTAAGGTGGGGATTTGGAAGGTTGGGGTGTATATATTCCTGTCTCTCCCTAAGGTTGGGATTTGGAAGGTTGGGGTGGATATGTTCCTGTCTCTCCCTAAGGTGGGGATTTGGAAGGTTGGGGTGGATATGTTCCTGCCCCTCCCTAAGGTGGAGATTTGGAGGGTTGGGGTGTATATATTCCTGTCTCTCCCTAAGGTTGGGATTTGGAAGGTTGGGGTGGATATGTTCCTGTCTCTCCCTAAGGTGGGGATTTGGAAGGTTGAGGTGGACATGTTTCTGCCTCTCCTTAAGGTGGGGATTTGGAGGGTTGGGGTGGACATGTTCCTGCCTCTCCCTAAGGTGGGGATTTGGAAGGTTGGGGTGGATATGTTCCTGTCTCTCCCTAAGGTTGGGATTTAGAAGGTTGGGGTGGATAAGCATTCCCTTACGATCTTATTTTTTGCCATACAGTAATTAATTTGAGGGTACCTGTCATTAATTAATAAGGATAATTGATAATTGATAATTTCATTATCTTGTCATATGCTCACCTACAATATACATTTGTTGCAGTTTAGAAGAATTGTCAACAATTGCTATGATATTGTCTTACAATAAGCCCACTCCTGTCTGTTGGTCAGGAGCTGTATTGGCTCCCAGGGCTTATTACAGGATATATACGGTAATTAAGATAAGTGCTGAACCATTAAGAAAACAGTAGACAGTTATTAATTGTAGCTCCTTATACAAAATTAGTGTTCATGCTAATTAATTAGCAATTTGATTATTTCAAGGATTAAGGTGCAACTGCTTGACAGGTGTGAAAGTTGCAGGTATATATAGTCAGTATTAGGAGCCTGAGGCGGTATGAATATTCATTGATAAAGCTGACGAATGGATATTGTTGATTGACTCTACGCTGGGAAAGGGTTATACAGTTGAATCCACTCAAGCAGAAAAATACAACATGGGATTGCTAGGTTTATTGAACACACTGTTCAAGTCACTTCATCATAGTGAGAGGGGACAGAAAGGCTAGGAGAGTTCAACACACAATGTTGGGAGATATCAAACAGAACTTATTTAATGTGCATGGTATATGATCTGATTGTGTTGATAAGCTTCTGAAGTTGATTCAGAACAATCTCCAGTTGAGTGGCAGTCCGTAGGGGCTAGGAACTATATTTAAAGGGCATGTTCAGATCCCTCAAAGCCCAGACTGGATAATTTAGTGTAATAGGAAATGGAACGTCTGTTGCACGCTACCTGTTTAGTGCTAATTATACTAAGAGTGTTACGAACAGTTTTGTAATGTACACCCAGACATTGTAGACAGCAGACAAACTGTGTCAACTACGACACGCAACAATTGATATGGATGTTTATTGAGGAAATTGCGACGACATCTCTCCATCACTGGGATGTAGTTTAGAACCACATATAGAACTGGAGGTGCTATCTTTGTGATGAAATACAGGTTGGATGAAATCAGCAAAGGAGCTATTGTTTAAATTGCTATGGGGTCAGAGTTGACCTTGATAAGAGGACAACCGTAACTTTGTTTTATTGAAATGTACAGGCTTTTATAACTATAATTCGGTAAGGTGAGAAGGATGGAAATTTGACTGTTACCGACTGTAACTTTGTTTTATTTAAGTGAACAGGTCTTTGTCACTATAATTCAGTAAGGAGAGAAGGATGGAGGTTAGACTGTTAACGGATTGTTGACTCATTCACTGTACTAAAGTTTCTTTTGGCATTGGTTCATTTGTGAACAACTTATGATTCTATAAAAAATTGTGTGAATCATATGGCTTTGATCATTGAATACACTAAATCTGTTGGGATAATTATATGGATTTAGTGCAGTGAAGTTGTCTGAAAGATGATATTGGATTAAATTTTCAAACATTTTCAAGACTATTGACCTTTGATTTAGTGACCTGGGTACATTTGTTCTTTAATTGAATCCAATAAACCTGGTTTGGATTAAATTTTTATTTTTTAAATTTTGAATTAAGCATTACATTTGTGTGAAAAACAATATTCTGTTGGAGATACCAAACTTACTTTTCACCATCTCTGAACTAAGTGTTTTATGTGTGTGGTACATGACCTTGAAATTACGTGACAGTTAATTGATTGACATAGACTCACGATCTACCGGTAATATGGAATGTTTCTGGTGCTCAGTTCTAATGTTTTGTGTGATAACAGCGGAATGTGATCTGTCAGAAAAGTGAAGAAATGATGTTTTATTACGTGTGGAGTGTATCTATCTTGTGTAAATCATGATTTAATGCCTTAGATATGTGAATCTTCAAAATAATCTACACTTTCCTCGTAAAATTGCATCATATTTAGCCATGTGCTACTTGTATTGGAGGTGCACATGACAGTGTGGGATAGCACATGTCTGAAGTAAGGATAATCAAACACCATGGAAGCAGACGACAGTTAAAAGAATTTAGTCACGCACAACTACGAGCATCCAGAATAAAAATTCACAAGGAAAACTACATTCTTAGGTGAAAGACATACTTTTTCTCTAGTTCATAATAGAAATTGAAAAAAAAATCAATGAATATTTTACTGGATTTGGTGCCCTTGATTGAAGAATCACCTGAACGGCAGATTACATCAAACTGAAAGACCAGATCTGTTAATATATCTGATTTACTGATTTGATTGTGATAAGCGTCTGGATTCAAACATTCTTTGTTTTATACAACAGATAATAGTTTAATGATGAATATTTAAAAGTGCACAAGCATTTTGACTTGAGAAAGTTTGCTTTTGTAAAGTCCCTACTAATTATCATACAGAAGGTTAAATATAGACACCATTAGCTCTATTTCTTGAACTAGGAGGTGAAAAGAAATTTAGAAATTTGACAAAATTTAATTGTGAAAAAGAAAAGATAAAAACTGGAGTGACTTTATGAAAAGATTCATGATTTGGTAAAATTGTGAAACACAGTGGAAGCTCTCTTGTCAGTTATCAAACAATGTTTTCCCTATTTATCAGCGGAAGCTAAGAGACATTGAGCAGACGGCTCCAACAGGGACCTTTTTTCATCAAGTACAATGAGGGAGCAGAACATTTTATCAGTGAAATTGATTAATAGATATGACCTTGCCCTTTTGAGGTAAACACATGTATGCTTACCGGTTTGGTTATGAGTATGTGCAAACAGGATATATGCTCATGTTTCAAGGTGTGTAATAGTGTGCAGGAGTTAACAGAGGCAAGAGGAATACAATTCGGCCGGAGTGATCTGAAGGCAATATGGTTTTTACCAGGAGGTGATATTTATCGTAGTTGAACCAGCAAGGGCCTTGTTGTGGATAGCTACCACTAATTAATCCATTAGATATGTGGTACTAGTGAATTGGTGTTATATTCATATTTTTTCGTGGATATTTAAATCTAAAACGACTAGGTTAAAACAACCAGAACAATGAATGAAACAGAGAAAGTGATTTGGCGACATCACAACAACCAGGTAATTATATAATATACCAATTGAGTCTCATATTTTCTCAATATGTTTTTTTCCTTTCAGAAAGTAAACAAAATCATAACCAGTAGCCATGTTTAAACAAAATCTTAAATGCTTTTGTTTGTGCCAGAGTTTTAGATACTCTATAAATCCTAATGAAGAAATAGTCTTCTTGACAGATATTTATCATCAAAGTATACTTACAGAGGAGTGAAATTTGAATTAAAAATTATTAAATGGATCACATGAATGTTTGAAAGAAAGGTGTGTCTGGGAAGAGGATTAATATACATAGATCAATGAGGTTGGAAAATTGTACATTATTACAACTGTAGAAACACTCCTCAGGTATCACATGAATCTATCAATTTAATTTGTTTGAACATAGAATACATATCCAATATCTATCCTTCAGTTTGCTGAGCAGTTCAACATGTTACAACTGATTCAAAGTCAAGGGTAGGGGTTATTACAGGACAGTGAAATGACATCTGATTGTAAGGTTGACTATAACTGGATATTGATGGGGTTAGTACCTCAGATATGGTTTTATAATTGGAGAATTAAGAGCAAACAATGACAAGATAAGTTTTGAATTCTGTTAAAAAGCCCACCCACACAATATTGCAATATAAATAGTGAACCAGTACCTAAATTTTATTGTTTTTTGATAAGCCTATCTCCTGACAATGTGTTAGAAGCGATATGTAAATAGTCCACTGGACTTCATGCACTGGAGTTAGTTATATACTTTCCTTTCAGGAAGTAAATCATTTTCCATATGTAATATGGATGCTGACTTTTATAGGTGGTCATATTATTTTTAACCTTCAAAATATTAAATGTTACATTTTTAGCCAATTATGAAATTCATGTTTTTATTTTCAATGATTAAATTCCAACCACAAGTTTGCTTAGTTAGACTGCAGTCAGTGAAGACATTAATAAGAAGTTATCACCTGGGATGTGAATGGGCAAAATAGATGACTATAGACCTTATGACTTGATCAGCTGACTTGGTATGTTCAAAAGGTAGTTGAACCCTCCCCCCACCTGTTTTTGAAGTCAGTCAAGAGCACATCAGTTTGGCCAAAAATACTGTGTGTAGTAAACAGTATCAGTTTAATTTCCAGTCTTGATATTTTGTAAATGCAATGCATGTATGAGATGTATATCATATACACACTGGTTTGTGTGTTATACCTTCTACTGAAATTGTGACAAGATATGATATGATCAAAATATCATAAGGCAAGCCTACACACACTTATATTGATAATATGTTGGACAAACACCAAATCTCCCATCTCTAGACACGTGTTTTTGTCACAGTGACCAAAATATGGCATATTAAGATCTCTCGAGATGTCTGTGTACATATATATACCTGACGTTGTGGCCATTTATATGAACCTGTATTTTACCTGTGAGTATGATAAATCTTACCTGCATGTCTGTATGCAGGTGAGATTCATCAGGCATTCAGATATGACAAGAGGATTAGATATGAAATACCTACCGTCATGTTTGCACACAAGGTAAGCCTGTAATGCTAACATATGAAAATAGATTTCAGTTGCTCTATCATGTATATTTTATATTGTGTTGTGTAAATTAAAAGTACATTATGTCAGTATTTGTAGTTTTTAAAGTGATGTTATCTGGTTTTATAAAGTCGACATAGGCCATTCAAGTACATGCGTGTATTACAATGTAGTTGTTTTACAGGACTGATATCTTTCTAAACATATGTGTAAGTTTCTATCAGACTTTCTCTTAACGCTGAACTATATAAAACTATTGAGGATATATGTCACCTGTATTTGATTGTACCTTTATTCCAGGAGAGTTCTGCTTATTGTGCTGAACTAATTTTGATACCATTTAAAAGGTATACTTAAACATGAAGATATAGATTTGATGACTTGGTCAACATGGTCTAAATGTTTTTTACATAGAATATATAGAGAGGGAAAAAAAAGAATAGTAGGAGAAGGATTAATATTTTAATATTAATATTAATTAAGTTGATCCTCCCAAACAGTGTGATTGTAAAGAACAAAAAATTCTAAATATCAAACTATGTGGTAAATCAAGCATTGGAATTCAAAACAAAACCTATGTTCCTTTTAGGTTTAGACCAACCTAAACTGTGCAAAAATTTATTTAAGATAATACTTATTTAGATGAGTACACATGTCAGTTGATGTAGTGTTTATATTAAGTGGGTTATCTCCCCTTAAAAAGCAGTATGGAAGATAACGTCAAAACTGGTGATGTGCTGAACAATTAAGGAGATATAACTAATAGATTGAGGCCAAAATTGTAATGATGAATAATGTGTAGTGGTCATGCAGGAATGACATGGAGATCTAAGAAATTCAGAGGTCAGGTGTTATTCCTTATATAGAGATATTCATTTAGAGGTAATATGCAGCCTTGAAAAAATGTCTTTTATCAGTGTTAATCACTAAAACTTTAGTTTACAGTCATGAAAGAAATAGATTATAATTGATAATCACTTGATTATGAATATGGATTTAATGATTATGGAACTGGATACCTATTCCTGTCACTACTCAAAACAGATCAGTAGATTAAATGTATGTTAAGTAGCATATTACCTTAAGTAGAATGCAGTATGAAAAGAGGATGTACAACAGAAATTTACTAGTTGAAGAGTTCTGGGGTATTAGAATTGTTAGGTTTACTGAGACAAAGTCTCCAGTGACCTATTGTGATTGTCTTTTGTCTAGTGCTGTATGTCATGTGTCTTAAGCAATTGACATCTTCTTAATAACCAAAAGGCCAGAAGTGCTGATATTAGGCCTGTGGCATGCTGGGATGAAGGGCTACCAAGTTTGTTCAATGAATGACTTTGACCCACTTTCCAGGTCACAGGGGTCAAATATACTTAAGCTGCTTTTTTTCTCAATAAACAAATGATACAGGATGCTGATATTGAGCCTTTAGCATTCTGGGATGAAGGGCTATTGAGCTTCTTAAAATGAATGACCTTGACCCACTTCCAAATGTGTTAAAGTCTTTAAATGACTTCTTCTCAATAACCTATAGGACCAAGGTGGTGGTATTGGGCCTCTTGTATGCTGGCATGAAGGTTCACCAAATTTGTTCATATTGTTGACCTTGACCGACTTTCAAGGTCAAATGTATCAAATATTTCAAAAATGTTTAAACCAGATCTTCTCAATAACCAAAAGGCCCAGGGTCATGACATTGGGCTAGTAGCATGCCAGGATGAAGGGCTATAATGTGTGTGTAATTGAATGAGCTTGACCATCATTCAAGGTCACAGGGTTCAAATATGCTAAACTGCAACAACAGAAGATGTCACCAGTTCTGTTTAATTGAAAATTAAGCCTTAAAACTTAGAAACATTAAAAACTTTGTAAGTATGAACTTATCAGTTCTGTTCTATCTGCCCCAATGCTGGGACTGATAGGTTCTAAAAAGTCCAGAGACCTGAAGACCTCAGGTGATTGTTAAGGCCCATGGGGCCTCTTGTTTGGTGTTAATATGTAATGCAGACAGGCTTAATAGAAGTATTTATACTGTGTTTCTGCACCATATTATGCTTTGTACCACATGAAAGTGTGCGTTGCACAGAAAGTACAAAAGAAGATAGATGTGTAATGGTTTCAATCATGCCTTGTGACAGACAAAAAATGAAGTATAAATATGTACCACAAATGTGTACCAGGCTACAGAAATGAAATATAAGCTTTAAATCTTTCTGGCCACTTTTAGCCATCATAGATGAATATTAGGGCAAGGTCTTGTGGATGGAAACAGATGTGTTTAAGCTGTCGTAAGCTGTCATACACTTGTAAACACTTATTGCTGTTGAAGTGAGGTACATGTACATTTCTTATTTTTATTGTTCTTGTTCTTTGCAGAATTTTTGAGCTACAACTGCCATGCCATTTTAGACTGTCAAATTATTGTTGGGTCTATTCAGGGGTTGTGTTTACATGTGCAGAGAAAGCAGTTGAGTTTGTGTGAATGACTCTGAAACGATAAAACAATAAGGTAGAGGTTCATTGTAAACATATGTGGGGAGCTGTAGGGCTAAGTATTGAGTGTAAGTGGTATGTGTATTGTATGGCAGAGTTTTCTTCTATTCTTTTAAAGGTAGTTATTTCTCTAGAATGTCCTTAGAATGTTGAACATTTGTTTTAATAAATGTACAAATAGGAATATTAGGATCATGCAATGTGATGTGAATTATTGGGGCTTTGTTAACATTTTTCACAAATTTCACTGCATTGTAAACAAAAGTTTTATATTGTCAGAAAGAGAAATGATCTCAATTGCTCTCTGATATTGTGGTGAAGAAAAAGGAAAACGTTTCAGGAGTTATTGAATAGCCAGTAATAAAATTAATGTATAGCAATGACAAGACAGTCAACTTCATCAGACAAATGAGCAGTGTTAAGGATGTTATAAGGTATCCTATGTTTAAGATGGAATCAGCTGGACTTTGTGGCATTAGACATAACCCTGTATATACACTATACTGGGATGTAATGTAACACAATGATGATAAGTGCTGAAAAATGTACATGTACTTTCCCTAAAATGTTGATTGGCTTATGTCTTGTTAAAGGGGATATTGTAATCAGCAAAACCTCACAAGTAAATTTCTTACTGGTTGTGACAATAGCAAGTCTATTCTGTGTATATATACTTACCAACCCAAAGAAAATGTTCCATAATGTTCAGCAAATGTGACTAAGGGGGTGAATGGTTTCCCATGAAAGACCTTGAATCTTTTTAAAGTTTCCTAGTTGAAGGAAATTATAATGAGACTTTACTTTATATTTCGAAATGTGAATTCCTCCATTCTGATTTTGTGCCCCTACCCCATCATCAACAGATATGAGGTCCACCCTGTATATAGTAACCTGGTGTTCACAGACTGAAGATCCAGCTAAAGCGATTAAAACACTGGAGAAACCGGTATATCAGAATTGTAAGGATTA